AAGACAAGTACATGTATATATAATTATATTTAGGGCTGTGTATTGGCAAATGAATGGTATTGTAATATATTGCGATTCAGGTACCCGTATTGCGATACGTATTGCGATATGTTGGGAATTTAAGTGTTTGACAGTGAGTGACACTAATTGTACATGTCGATCCTATTTTCTACATTATACGCCCCTAAACATGTATGCTATGGTCCTGATAACAGCAGTCTCAAAATTAGGTTGCATAGTCAGGGATTCTATTTTAATTTTTATACAATTTATTGCATTACAGTATACTGTTTTGTCATTGAATAACGAAGGAAAACGTTTGTTGTTATATCCGTCAGTGGAAAGATGATCTTACGTCAGAACGGCAACGTCAAGGGAGTAGCAAGCTAAGACTCTATAACAAGTTCAAGTCAGTGTATACTGCTGAAACATACCTACTGAGACAAATGCCTAAATCTTACAGATCTGGGACCGTATTTATAAAAATGTTAAGAATTCTTCATTGCTGTACACTGCTAGTACATTTCTTCTTAACCTAAAATCTCTCAAGCGACGCATACGAGCGGCCATGTTTATCAAGCTAAGAAAATTCTTAACTAGTTTGGAGTACCATAGGGGCACTCCTAAATATGTGTCATACTTAGGAGTAATTCTAAGAGAACAAAGTTTTATAAATGTGACTTAAGAAATTATTAACACTTAAGTGTAAATATAATGGAATTCTAAGAATTTTATTGATTTAAGAATTCTTACCAATTCTAAGAATTTTTATAAATACGGCCCCTGCACTATCCACGTTTCGCTGTGGCGTTGCTCCTATCGGTATGGAAACCGGGAGATATAAGACGATTCCACGGCAAAACCGTACTTTAAAGATGTTTTCGAAGACGAGGCACACGTCATTCTTCACAGTCCTCTATATAATGCTATCAGATCTGACCTCCTGAATATATGTAATGGTAAATTTCCTGGTTTTATTAATTTGCCAGATATAGATAAAGTGGCCACCATTCTACACGTCAGTGATATTTGTTTTGTTGCAGGAAAAACCTGCAAAGGAATTCTATTGAAGCGTCGTCAGACCCTATATGTATGAACCTTTTATCCTTTTACTGTATATTAAAGTGTTTTATAGTCCCATAACTCCTTAGAGGAGTGGTGCTGTTTTTGTAGAGTGACTCCAATAAACTTTTGTCTGTCTATCTGTAAAAGGAAAGTTTGTAGATTTAAATTTAAACCATAAAGATAATCACAAACACTTCATATATGTTCTTTACCCAATATACCGGTTTTCAGAAAAAACACCTATTGCAATAGGTATCGTTTGAAAAGCATATTGCGAAATACCGGATAACCGGTAATGCCGTGCAATCCTAATTATATTGGAGGCCATTGGATTTATTTTGCAAACTATACTCCCCATCAAAAGTTTAGACTCAAAGCACTCACTATATGTTATGTATACATATATATATGTGGTTACGTCGAAGATGAATTTGTCCACTAACTTTGGGGAACCAACTACAAACCTTATGCAGATGAATTGCACAAGGATCATGCATCAAATTGCTGAAAAGCATGTGCAAATATCGTGCATGTGAACAGCTGCGTTTTGGTGTGAAGTTTTGTTAAGAATTCACCAATTTTCACCGAGTTCATTTATTGAACTCATGACAATAATCTTTTCAACGTTACACTTTGTTTTACAATACATCAGTTCATGTGTAAACAGTACCCTTAAATTGTATAGAATATTTTGCAAAATCTAGTCTAGAACAGTTGACTGAAGTAAGTGGCTATATTTACACTCGTGAGTCTAAACTTTTGATGGGGAGTATATATGTTTGTTTGCCTGAATTATAGTCACTATATTTCAAGTTACTTAATGAACATCTTGTGATGCAGAAATTCGATCAACTATTCATGAATTTATTGTATGAATCAGGAAGCTGTCAACATATATGCACCTAATACAAACAATCGAATATCTTCAAAAATGAAACTCTTTCCGACAACCGAAATAAACCGACAGAAAGAATGGACTAAAAACGTTATAAGCTAGTTTTAATGTCCACACTTAAGCATTATTTCTCATACAGCACAACCCCTTCAACATATACATATTACTCTGAAATGTTTTATCTAATCTAGACAATACACCATGAGTGTATATCTCTCGTGATTCTCAACCCAAACACTGTCTCCCGAGTGGTGAGCCAACACGAGACTACAAGCCAAACACTCGTCCCCATGGCAACAGGCTAAACTAAACTACGAACAAGATTGCCAATAACACAACTGTACAACTATATAACCACTTATCACTAAAAATCAATAATATAAAAGACTAAAAACTCCTCATCTCGGGGCTGTATGTGTAGAAGAATCCATCAGCTGTTTCAGCAACAAAATCGGCCTCTCCTCCAGATCAGCCGTGCATTAGCAGATTCAAAAATAAACTAGGATGGTTGAGAACCATGATTTGAATTCAGAAGATTCAATATTGCTCATCTCGCAACTCTTCGTGTATGAAAGGCTCGTGTTTATGTACTCGACCGAGTAGGTTGTTGGAGGATGTTGTAAGTTCAATGCACAAAGCTAGACGATGTTTTAAGCTTTCTAGGCTTGTAGCCATTAAGTAGTTCCAAAACATGTATACTCGAACCTAGTTTATCCGGACACTTGCGATTTCACAAATATCGCCCGGATAAACGATTTCACGAATATCTAAACCTTTTGTCACTTACGTCATCAATGAGGCAAATAATCACAATTTTAATGTTTTGCATAAGATTATTCGAGTGTTGTGCATGTAACACTCAATGGCGAATTTAGTTGAACTAATTCACAAAGACAAACCTAGTCAATAGATACTTTAAATTTGCGATAATCCTATGATTATTGATCACTTAGAATGACCACTTTATGGCATTTTTAGATGCATGGACCAGACAATCAACTGATTGACATCGTGAGCATCGATCCACACAATTGGGAACCGATGACTTGTGTCAACCAAGTCAGCAAGCCTGACCACCCCATCCCGTTAGTCGCCTCTTACGACAAGTATGGGTTGCTGCAGACATGCGGTCTTGACGGGATCGAATCGGGTGGCCAGGCTCGCTGTTCGATGCTCATGCTGTTGATCACTGGATTGTCTTGTCCAGACTCGAGTATTTACAGACTGCAGCCATACACTTGGAATATTGCTGAGCACGGCGTAAAACTAAACTCACGTCTACATACATATTACTTATCCTTCGCGGCAATCCACCGATCCGCCAGCTTGAGTTACTGCCCTTTAACAAAGGGAAGCTACTCTAGTCTATGAGACGTCCACTAAACTGACTGATCGCACTAAATAACTTGGCTATGAATGTTTGACTGCCTGTATTTGTAAAATGATTTGGCTCCGTCTCATTTAGACAAATACACAATCATCAGTATTTTTACAGATCCCCGATAATCAATTTTACCTCGATAGGAAAGGTCGACAAACATAGCTCTCACCTGACCATATATATTTGCATATTTATCCAAAAACCTAACGGTTACCGTTTACATCTGTTCTTCATATTCTTCCGAGACACCTATTATATACTCATGCCAATAATGGTTGTCACCCCCTTCAATTGTTTTAAATGGAGAGGGCGTTGGGGTGGGGAGGGGGGTGACAACCATTATTGGCATGAGTATATGATAAAACGTATTACTGATAATTGTATCCATTTCGCAAAGCCAAATTTTTATAAATCTCGGATTGAGAAAAACTTACTGATCAAGAAATCTATTCACCAACAGTGAATAGTCAGTAGACGTCCAAGCTCCGAATTCTATTCCATCTCATTTTTCAACCAATCATATTGGAAATAACTCCAATGTTTTTTATAGTATGTTTTCTACCTCTTGACAATGCTGTTGATACATTCGCACTTAATGGAACAACATATAATCGATGTTACTTCTTAAAATGCGAAAAAACTCCAGAAATCTATGTGAAGCATGAACTTCTCGTGCGTTCTTTGTACGCAACATAACCTTTCTAGATAAGGCATACGTCCACGAACAATGAACGCCGTTTCTTCCACATCGATCCCAAAATGTAAAAACTTCTATTTATCAAAGCTTGATTCCACGATTGTTGCTTATGCTGAATGACTGGTTCCAGGGGTTTTTTTTAGATTGAGACAGAAACAATATGTTTTGCAAGTATCTAGACAATATGTAAAGTAGCAGACAGTCTCCTTTAAGCCCAGATCGATCAGGTTAAGTGCATTGCAATTTTAAAATATAAAACAACTTCTTTTATTCTGTTACAACTCTTTTCCATAGCTTCTTCTTAGTCCTCAATCAGGTAAATAGCCAGTAAGTGCAGGTGAAATGGGCGTAAGTCTGTGTACTTACGAGGGACCCGTGAATATCCGGGTTAGAATATTGATCTTCATTAACCCATGCTTGTCGTAAGAGGCGACTAACGGGATCGGGTGGTCAGGCTCGCTGACTTGGTTGACGCATGTCATCCGTTCCCAATTGCGCAAATCGATGCTCATGCTGTTTATCTTATCTTAACTTGCCAGATCGGTGCTCATGATGTCAATCACTGCATTGTCTGGTCGAGACTCGATTATTTACAGACCTCCGCCATATAGCTGGAATATTGTTGAGTGCGGCGTAAAACTAAACTCACTCACTCACTTACGAGGGATGCGGTTTTAGTCTGTGTACTTACGAGGGATGCGGTGTGGGTGTGTGTACTTACGAGGGATGCGGTGTTGGTCTGTGTACTTACGAGGGATGCGGTGTGGGTGGGTGTACTTACGAGGGATGCGGTGTGGGTCTGTGTACTTACGAGGGATGCGGTGTGGGTCTGTGTACTTACGAGGGATGCGGTGTGGGTGTGTGTACTTACGAGGGATGCGGTGTTGGTCTGTGTACTTACGAGGGATGCGGTGTGGGTCTGTGTACTTACGAGGGAATGTAATGTGGGCCTGTTTACTCACCAGCGGGCTGAGGGTCGGCCTGGCACACCACTACATGCAGAGCGCCACACATGGTTGTCATCCAGTTGGCGTTCAGTGAGCTGGCCTTCACACAGTTGTATCCCGTCGCATTGTTGGGTTCATTCGGCATCCAGTTGTCGGATTCGAACACGGAGTTATCAACCCACTCAAACGCAGCGTTGCCAGACGCCCTGCTCAATCCAACCCAAAAATAACTGGAACCAAGAATAAGACAGATTCCTGTAAACGTCTTTTCTCATTCTTTTGAACTAAAAGGTCAATACACTTTACGACATCTACAACGGAAAGGAAACAAAAAGATGCAATTGATATATTCCTGATCTCAATATTGTAAAGACGCCTCAGGACTGTTACACACTACAACAAAGTCTATACAATGACTAATTGAGAGAATGACTTTACCTCATGGCATATTTCTAGACCAGGCGTAATGATCGGGTCGTTGTACCATTAGTCATACGCCCACTAGTCATACGTCCACTAGTCATACGCCCATTAGTCATACGCCCACCAGTCATACAGCAAATGAGGGATTAATTAAAACAACAACAGGCATACACCCTTTGCGCAAAATGGACTAGCCCGCTAATTAGAGAGCTTGAGGTTAGTTGAATCTCTAACACCAGAGACCATACAATATATTATATGGTCTCTGCTAACACTGAGAATGCCACAGTCTTTGGTAACGAAAACATATACATGTAAATGAATGTTCGGAAAAGTGTTTCAACCGCTACGCCGTTAGTGCGTGACTAGTGACAATCAAGACGATCTAGTTATTGTTTCATTCAACTATTTTAACCAGCATTGCTGACAACCAGAGTAAAATATTCTTCACTCACGCAAAAAAAAACAAAATAAACATTTTTCATTTTTTTACCCATAGAGGACCAAGGCATGGTGTGGGAAGTCAACAGGACAGGGCGAGAGTATCTAAAGCGCCAGAATTAGTTGTATATAGCTGCGTTTTTCTAACTGTGGTTTAACATAGATTTTGATTGTTGATAAGGGAGATAATTATGCTGCATAAAATTAACTTTTAAATGTGACAAGAATGGTAGATATTCTTTCTATTCCAAAACAAAGTTTCCTGTTTTCTATGTTTTCTATTATAAAACAAAATGCCCGCATAACACGACGGAGGTATGCGCTGGTAACCTGATACACTTTAAGTCTGTTATGAAATTTAAGATGTTTCTCCCAGCAACTGTGACCAGTGTTCCAGAGTTTGACCACAGCTTTTATGACAATGATTCTTGGTACCAATGGTACCAATAGAATTTCACCAATGAAGTAATACTGTGGCGAGTGAGTTGGTTAGGTTCAACAACGCATGTTTTCAACTTATACCACGGCTTGTCTGTTTGATGTAGGGGAAAACCCCGAAGTGATGCAAGTCGTAGATGTTAATAATTTTGAGGCAACTCATGAGTTTAGGTATGGTGCGGACGACCGGGAATCGAACCCGCGGTCTTAGGTTCCTGGCGTCTCCAGGGGACGCAACTCTGTACAACTATCGCAATAATGTTGCAACTGGTCCAAAGTACATCTGTCGCCCTTAGGGCACCAAGCACTAACCAACATTACATCAAAGCTGACATGCCAACTCGGATCAAGAACCCTCAGATTGATTGGAAAGTTTTAATGGAGTAACAAGCAGTCCTGAATATTTAAAGTCATCAAGGAATTCCTGAAAGGATTCCATCTCTTCAATGTATGTCAGATCAAAGCAGTTACGTAACACTATTTTGTTTGATTTTACTGCATCTGTCGATATTATCGATAGTGTTGACGAGCGTAGCTTCCATGCTGGCATCAATATCCCTGAACAGATCAAGGAAGTGCGTCATGCATCGCTACGTGTAACAATCAGAACACGCATATTACATGATACTACCGTAGTCTAATATCATGGTATATCCTTTACTCATAGATCACGATATCGTGCACTTTCTGACAAGGGATTTGACCAAATTAAACATGCAGTTGTTATAATTATATGCTAAAGATGAAAAAATGAAAAAACATTTTTACGAAAACTTTAGGTTTTAACTCGCTCGCCCATGGGCCGGCCCATGGGCGAGAATGCTTCTTTCGCTCAGAATTCATGTTTTGGAGGTTGTAAATGAATAAGTGTATGTTTATAAGTATCATGACACAAATTTCAACTCATTTTGACTTAATTCGGCTAATTTAGAACGATATTAAAAAGTCTCGCCCATGAGCGACAAACGTTTTGGCCCATGGGCGAGAATATTTACTTTTACTCAAAATACATGTTTATCCATGTTTTGAAGGTTGTACGTGAATCCGTGTATGTTTATGAGTATCATGACACAAAATTCAGCTCATTTTGACTTAATTCAGCTAATTTAGAGTGATTTAATTTAAAATGAAACCTTATTTCATGATCACGTTCCATCCTTTGTTGTCATGTCATATGTATCCTGTATTCTAATGCCATGTTGATATATCATATGCGTTATTTTATCATACCATGTAAAAGTCTCTATTTTATGATGATGTTACGCCTGTTTTTAACCCAATTTTATTTCCTCTAGTACATAAAGGTCTATGCGATTCAGTCAACAATGCAAACGAAATAATAGTTTATATATATGATGTGCACAGAAAAAACTAAGAACAAAGACATTTCTATTCAGACTGGTCCACTTCTAAACCAAATTGCTGATTTTCATGTTGCGGATTTACATTAGTTGGTTCAAATTGATTCCACTGTGATTATAGTTTGTTTATAACCTCTCGGCCAAAGCATGACATGCTGCTTGACGGATCTATGATTTGTTACAGAAGAGTTCTCATAGAACTTGTTTGCTTGTTTTCAAGTGTAAATCTATATTTCTTGTATATTTTCTTCAGTGAGTGTCGTCTTTAGAGGAACCGACTCAAACTGGAATCCGTCTATAGTGTTTTCAGAATGCTTGTCTCCGTATTGATGTTATGTATGTTGTGGACTGCTGTTGGCTGAAATTTCCGTTTCACCTGCGTTACGTTTCCGCGCTTTTACCTAAGCTTATACGCATCACTTGTTTGAAGAAGCCGTATCGATGACGTAGCTAGGCAATTAACATGGAATAAATACAACAACATGTACATAAAATGCAAGGTATTACAGGCACAAAGAAATATATATAACAAAATAAAGGATATGGAATAAAGGGTGCAGCAAAGACTTGGAATAAAGAGTATTGACTGGACTAAGAATAAAGAGTATACGTGCAGAATGAACTAACATATGGAGTATACCTGTAAGCAGGTCATAAATATATGTTATATACAGAAAACTGTAACACGGATAAGGAATAAATGTTATAAGATGGACTTAGAACAAATTGTAGAACGCGGACCTTGGACAAAGGCTATAACATGGACTCGAATTAAAGTGTATAGCATAAAACTAGAATAAAGGGTAGAAGATATATTACATCATGATTATAACATTCCCCCAAATTAAGGATACAAAAAGGTGAAGTTCCAGCATGGACTTCAATAGACCTTAAATTTACGGTACAAATGAAAAAGGGTGTAACATGGATTATGAATAAAGGATACACAATAAACTTACATGGTACAAGAGAATGGAGAGTAGAAAGCGGAGCTTGAATAAAGGTATGACTTGGACTTGGATTAAGGATACAAAAAACACACAGAAAAACCCGATATTGATCGTCCATGCTTAAAGTGCTTCATGCTTTACAAGACATGCTTCACTCACTTTACATCACTATTCGTTTTGACAACTCGTTCAGCCATACTTAGATTTTATCAATGTCCATTCTGTTATTGTTTTGAAGTAATTATGTGGGTTTTTTTCATATTTGTGCATTTTTATACATTTTGTAGTTTGGAAATATTGTGTTATTATTTGGACAATATGGTTCATTGTTAATATGACATCATTCGTAACGCCTTGTGCCACTTCGTCGACATCGTTTTTAGACATTGTACACTACTTGTTTACACTTATTTTAATTAATTAAATAAAACGATTCCTTCCGATATAGAGCTACTGCTGCGACAACAAATGTTAAGACTACGACTCCGACTTTAACCACCATTAATACTACACCAACACCACCACTTCCATTGATTATATTCCCTTACTACCACCGCCAGTAGTACACCAACACCACCACTTCCACTGATTATATTGCCTTACTACCACCGCCACTACTACAACTACAACTACAGATACTACTACCACCGCCACTTCTACAACTACAACTACAGATACTACTACCACCGCCACTTCTACAACTACAACTACAGATACTACTACCACCGCCACTACTACAACTACAACTACAGGTACTACTACTGCTGCCCCTACAACGACTACTACTTATGCAAATATATATACTAATTCTAAAACCAGTATTTCTTCATACTAATATCAATACTAATACTACAACTACAGTACATCCAGAAATTATTGAGAATTTAAAGATTGTAATTTTTCTATTTTTTCCACTCATTACTCACGTATTTAATGTGAATATTAGCAGAACATACCCAGATTCACAGACAGGTGAACAGTTAGTATTTTGTCAAGTCACCATGGGCAGCAATGCAGGCTTCAATGCCCGTGAATGCTTTGAACGATGTTTTGGGTCGTTGTTCTGTTCGAAAATCAAAATTTTCCATAGAACACGTGAGCAGATGGAAGTAAATGTCCCTCGAGAATATCTGTGTACCGCTCACCGTTCATATTCCCTTCAAATGCACAGAGGGGCGTTGCCCCTAACACAGATATGTACTTTGGGCGCTGATACAAAGGTTTTTCAGTTTGTTTGGTCCAAATTTCAGTGTATTAGGAAACAGCAACACAGAACTTTCATCTGAGAAAATCACATTGTCCCAGTTAAAATTTCTATGCTGTAAGGACCAGTTCAACCTTCGCTCCCTTGTGTTCAGGTTTCATGATCGGTGATGGAATTCCTCGACTTTTCTGCCAACCGATTGCATGCAGCTCAGTTCTAATTGTCTCGTTACAGACAGCCACAGTTCCTCTCTCAATCATATCCAGCCTTAAAGTTTCTAAACTCCTTCGTTTGTTTTTAGAAACAAGAATACCAAGCCGCATCCTGTCTCCGACAGTCAATTTTCTGGGCCTACCTGCGCCTCTCTGGTGCGCAATGCCATATCCATTTGCAATAATTTTCAAAACACGATA